TTTTTTATGTTTTTTTTTTTTTTTTTGTAGAATCTTTTTTTTTTTCATTGGTTACAGTAGATTAGACTACAAATGCATAGTAATTTCTTAAAAATTGTATTCAAGTATGCAACAAACTTCCTTCCTCAGGGTGAACCAGGAAAGCAGGGTCCAGTCGGCCCAATGGGCCCGCAGGGAATCCAGGTGGGTTGGACACATGGAAGAACCTGTTGGTCTGATTACGGATCTTAAGGGTTGTGTCCCAATTTGCATACTAAAGCTATGCATCAAATATATGTACTCTGCTTGAGATGGAAAAGACGGTACATTGTGCAAGTAAAAAAACAAAATTGTGTATAAGTTCTTTCATTTGGCTAAATAATGAATTTAGTTTCAATAAACAATTTCGTTTTTTTAATTGTTTCTGCAGGTCTTAAAAAGATCTTTAAAAGTCTTAATTCCTCCTCCACAAACGAAGTACTGAAAAGGACATAAAAAAACAAAGGACATAAAAAATGTTGCATGCTCCCAAAAAAATGTATATCTTCCACAGTACTTTTGTTTTGCTTTCTAGTACAAATATCTGAACATCCTTAAGTTAAGATACATTTACTTGGGATGAAAACTGAATATATGAAGTCTTGTTTTCTGAGAAATGGAACACAAAGTGAGTTCATGCTTAAAAATACTTTTCACTTTTAATTAAGTTGATTGGCAGATATCTCTTCTTGTTTTAATCATAAACTCACTTCAATTTGATCAATTTCTCAGAAAAAAAAAAGACTTTTTATTTTGTCATTTTGCTTCTCAAGTAAATGTATCTTGAGGAAACACTGAGCAATAACTTTTTTTTTTTTTTTAAATAAATTTTAAAAAGTAATGGAACTCTATTGGAATTTTATTTTATTTTTTTAAATGATGCATTTCTAATACAATTATTCTTTTTCAATTATACAATTTCTTTCCTTGGTCTTAAAAAGTTTTCTACATTTTCGTTCATAAAACTGACAGAAATCCTGCTATATAGTCGCTGTTGCACAATATGGGCAATATTTGCTAAAGAGCATGCAGTCATGCAGTCATCATACACTATTTGCATACTATTTTCAATATAAAATGATACGTGATGAAGACTTTTTATTTTGTCATTTTGCTTCTCAAGTAAATGTATCTTGAGGAAACACTGAGCAATAACTTTTTTTTTTTTTTTAATACATTTTAAAAAGTAATGGAACTCTATTGGAATTTTATTTTATTTTTTTAAATGATGCATTTCTAATACAATTATTCTTTTTAATTTCTTTCCTTGGTCTTAAAAAGTTTTCTACATTTTCGTTCATAAAACTGACAGAAATCCTGCTATATAGTCGCTGTTGGACAATATGGGCAATATTTGCTAAAGAGCATGCAGTCATGCAGTCATCATACACTATTTGCATACTATTTTCAATATAAAATGATACGTGATGCACTAATACTAATTGTGTATACTATTTATAACAGATATAGTGTGCAACTTTGGGACACAACATGTTTGTATAATATTACATCTAACTCATTCAATAAATTTAGGAAAAAAAATGGGTGGTTAATCACACCATTTTCCTCATTTAGCATAATTACAGTACATGCATGAGTACTGATAAAAGGCAATTATTTGGTGAAGTGCTATACAATTATACATTGTTATTGTAATTCATAATCTTGACTACTTCCTCAGGGAGATAAAGGTGACCAAGGACTCATGGGCCCTCGTGGAATCAAGGGTCACACAGGTCATAAAGGAGACCAGGTGTGGTCATTGTTCATTGTAATAATCATAACACAGAAACTTATTATTGCTCACTGTTTGTGTATGATCATGCCTTTTTTTCTTACTTTTTTTAGGGCCCAATGGGTCCTGTTGGTCCCAAAGGAAGTGAGGTAAATTAGAAAGCACTCAGTGACCGTTTAGATGGCTGTTGCTCCCTGCACTTGTATGAATACCATGTAATTTTATTTTTCCTCTCATCGCTCCACAGGGAGATCCAGGTGTTGTAGGAGAACCAGGCATGAAGGGTGATCAGGTTTGTCATATTTATAGCTGCATACCATTGCACCCTCTAATTATGATATATCAGTATGTGTACAGTAATCTGATGGTTTTTAATAATGGTTTACAGGGGCCTCCGGGTATTCCTGGAATCAAGAGTGAGGTAAGCGTGCCATCCTTCATAAACACTCATATTATTGGAGTTTTAGGTTGTAGAAGACTAAAATTTTTTATTTTCAAATCTATTGATATAGAAAATAAATCAATAATGTATTATAAATAAAATATTTCTTTCATAAAGTAATTTTCAATTTTTTTTCTCAAATTTTCAAATAATGTTTCCAAATATTTATGTATGTCTATTCTATCAGTTAGATAATCTATCAATAATCTTTGAATTATTTTCATGTTAATTTACCAATAAATAATAACGTTTATATTTTTCAAATTATTTATCATAAAATACATTATTAAAAATTATATATTTATATATATATATATATATGTGTGTGTGTGTGTGTGTGTGTGTATTATAGATGGATGGATGGATGGATGGATGGATAGATAGAATCAAAATTTTAAATTCACCTTTAAACTTCACCTTTTTTTATCTAAACTTGAACACTTTTCCTTTAAGAAATGCAAATCTAGTTGTTGTTGTTTTTTCTCCTTACTCCTGTCATCCTAGCGTGGAGAGAAAGGCCAGAGAGGAGCTACAGGAGCTGATGGTCGTCCAGGACAGCCAGGCCACGAGGGTCTGACCGGACCGCAGGGAGCCAGAGGTCTTGAGGGGGAACGAGGACTATCAGGACCCCCTGGTCCCAGAGGTCTACTTGTGAGTGCATTGCTTTGTTCAATTTTGAGTGGACAGTACGTTGCTTCTTTAGAAATACTTGCTCTGCAGTTGTTGCTGATGTTGTCCTCAATTTACTTTTAATAGGGGCCTAAGATGAGTGACGAGAGGATCCGTGAGATTTGTTCAGCTGTTGTTGAAGGCATGGCTATATTAATCACTTTAAAACACCAACATCAACTTTATTTTGCTTTATAAATGGCAACTAACGTATAACATTGTATTGTACCAAACAGAGCATTTAGATGCCTACAAGAAGGAAGTAGCCAAGAAGCCTCTTGCCATTGGAGCCCCTGGAACTCCAGGACTCATGGGACCACCTGGACTACCGGGACCAGCAGGTCCTGCTGGAGAAGCCGGACCCAGAGGAATCATGGGCCCCAAGGGGCCTCAAGGATACTACGGTCTTCCTGGAAAACCAGGAGCCACAGGTACGTTGGTTTGATTCTCACTTCCTCTGATTTTTCCAAACCATGTTTCACTGTCCCAATTAGTGCTCTGCTGTCAGCTGAATTACAGCTGAGCTCTCGAAGATGCAGTGAGCGCACATAACGCTGATTGCAAATGTCTTTGTGTGTTTTTTTTATTGCCTATGAATTCTTAAGATTAAACACTCGTATGAAATATTCAGTTAAGCTTCAGCTGCATCATGCTTTTTATGCTTTCAAAGACATGGAATGTATTCCATATTCTGTTTTCCATACAGGATTCATTCTTTTATTTCATCTGCAGCTTTAGCTATTGCATAGCATCTCATGTTTTTGAATGTCTTGTGCCATTAGTATTAAGATGCTGTGAAATATATAAAACAAATTTTTTGGGGGGGGAAATTTGCTAATTTTTTGTTACCATGGATATCTATAATTTTGTGAGGACTATGATAATTATGTGCAAAGTATTTTTTAGCCCGTTTTTCTTTTTTTTTTTTACTAGTTTAGTATAAGTTTTTTTTCTGATTAGTCAGTTAATGCTTGAGTTAACGTACCATTAAATAATAATGGTTAATTCTGCTATGAGTCTTTCAAAATTTAAATGAAAAATAAAAAATAAATTCCAACATAAAAAGTGAAATAAAAAATGAAATGAAAAAAAAGAAGTGTGTGTATTAGGGTTTAGATATACTTGAAATAAAATAAACTTTAACTGAAATAAAATATACAAACACTAAAACTTATTTAATTTCAGCTAGTTGTCAAAGCAACATTTCTCATTTTCATGTAGATTAACTTGATGTACTAAAACATCTTAAAATTACAACTGAAATTAAGATAAATAAAAACGACAGACATATTAAAAAAAAAATTAAAAAAAAAGACTAAAATGAATAAAAAATTACAAAAACACAACAAAATGGTCACAATTTTAACTAAAATTAAAATGAAAACAGAAAATATAAACAAAAACAATTACAAATATGAATTAAAAAAGTAATATAAAAAATATATAAAAGTAGCCCAATGATACCAATACAATTATACAGTGCTTCCTTAACACTTACTAGTCATTCAGGCAACTTACCAACTAGTGGATTTTAAAAAGATGGGTAGTTTGAGTTGGTGAACACATTTGTAAATATCCTCTTTGGCAATCCACATCATGCTGATGGTGTATGCCGTACTTCCTTTAATATCACATAATGTGCACAACTGAATACCCCTGCAAGAATCAGCCGTTTTTATGATATTTCATTAGTGGATTTTGCTGAATTTACAGGCTAAAACTGTGAGCACACCTTGATTTCCATCAGTTGCTGGTCAATGAAGGGTAGCAGGCTCCTGAATGTTTAGCATTGCAGTTCTTTTGTCCTCACAAGCGGAGGCTGTTGTACAGTGAGTGCCGTCGGCGCTAATTGCCAGCGAGCCGAGGAGGAATATGCTCGCTAATGAGACAGAGATTGAGAAGCAATAACAGGATAATTAGAAAAGCCCCCGACAGCATCTCAATCTACCTCAGTTATTTCTGCCAAACCTCTGAGGATGTGAGCATGTTTATTGAAGTTGATAAATGTAGAAAACATTCTAGCATTCAAGACTCGTGTCTCGTGCCTTGCAGGGTTTTTGACTGTAGAAATGTCAGCAGTCTCACAAGGGTCTCCCAGGTCCCTTATACGAGCTTTAAATATAAGAATTTAGCCATCAATCCCAGTCGACTAACAGGCCAAAGACTGAAGTGTGAATGCAGCTCTTCAGTGTTCAGTACAACAATGTGTATTTGTGCTAGCTTTGCACCATGAAACCATTGCCAATTTTTTTATGGCCAAACAAACACACCTCCTTTCTAACCAAATATTAAAATGCTCCAGATCCACATGGAAGAGCTATGAAAATTACACTATTACCGAAAATAAATAAAGTTGGCAGTAAAAGAGATGTATGTAGAAGAGATGTTTGTCGTTCTACTGATAGAACATCTTTTTTTTTTATAATAATACTTTTATTCAGCAAGTATGCATTAAAATGATAAAAAAGTGACCATAAAGACATTAACAAAATATTTATATTTTAAATAAATACTGTTCCTTTGAACCTAGAAAAAAATAACAAATATATTAAGCATCGCAACTGTTTTACATATTAATAATAATAATAATAATTATTATTATTATTATTATTATGTTTTTAAGCAGCAAATAAGCATATTAGAATGATTTCTGAAGAACAGAAGACTGGAGTAATGATGCTGAAAATTCAGCTTTGCATCACAGGAATAAATTACATTTTAAAATATATACAAATAGAAAACATGTCATTCAATTTTAATAATATTTCACAATATAACTGTATAAATGCAGCCTTGGTAAACATAAAATATTCTTTCAAACACATTAAAAAAAATCTTTCTGACTCTAAAAGTTTGAATGTTAGTGTACTATAGTGTAATACTATGGTTGGTGTGTGTATACACACACACACACACACACACACACACACACATCAAATATGTAAACATAAAGTACCATAATATTATCTTATGCTGATAATGATTATCTGAATGAGGTCAGTGCCATTACTTTTTGTTTTTAATACATTATGCATCTTTGTATGCGACTATTTATTTATTTATTTTTTTAAAACTTTGAATTACTGTTGTTTATGAAATGTGCTATATAAACAAATTTGCTGGGCCATACTGTAAGATTGTGTTTTGTCTGTGGAGAGTCACAATGTGATAGACTGTCTAATAATAATATATGTGTGTAGGTGATGCAGGACAAAAAGGTGACAAGGGAGATAATGGAATTGGAATTCCAGGAATTCCTGGAGAACCCGGACCTCAAGGTACGCAACACTTTCTGCTAATCCTATTGTACCATCATTTCAAAAGATAACTGAGTCATAGTGAAAACCCAATGAAACATTTTCTTACATAAACATTTTCAAAACCCTTCCTTATCAAATCTGATTTCATAAAACAGGACCAGCTGGCAAGCCTGGCATCGGTAAGGACGGTCAGGACGGGGCCAGAGGAGACGCCGGTGTGCCTGGGACCCCAGGAACCCTTGGAGCCAGAGGACCTCCGGGAGCCCCTGGTCTTTGTGATCCTTCAAACTGCTTTAGGCCTCAACCGCTTTACATGGTTGGCGGGAAGAGGTCTGTCAACATCAAGGGTCCATGAACAGAATGAAAGAAACCTTCTAGAAATCTTCATCACAGTCATCATCAGCCAGTTCATTTCCGACAAACTTGGAGACTTCAAATGGCGAGCAGACGGTGAGAGAAACAAACGTGACAGATGTATAGAGACACACGGATGCAGCTCCTGATGGTGGATTTGTTGTACCTTGTACATAAACTAGAAGTAAATGTGTTTGTTCTTTCAGGAGGTTTACAGTAAATCGCAGATAAATAAATAAATTAGTAATTGATGTTTCAGTTCTTGGGTCACAAACTGCTATAATCGATCATTTCCAGACCACTACATGCAATAGAATTGCAATTTTTTTTTAATATTTTTTCATCAAATGTGATTGTAAAGGCCAATTTTAGACATGGTGCCAGACATTAAGCTACGCCAACAGAACGACAGTGTGATCCTACAACAGCTTGAAATAAAAGCTTTTCACCACCATGCTACCAGTGTGCTACGGTTTATCTTGAAAAGCTTTAATAAGAGGTTTCTGTCAATACACCGGTAGATAAAATCCATATAATATTATACAATTAGTGACAGAAAATGTACTTTGTTGATGTTTCAGGAGGCCTGATTATGTTACATTCAGTGCTGGATAGTAACGGATTACATGTAATCTGGATTAAGTAATCAGATTCCAGAAAATAGGTACTTGTAATTAGATTACATTTGAAAATAGTCAGATTACAGTTACTTTTTTATAGATTACATAACATATTCAATGGCAGTAAATTGTTCGTAATTTATTCATTCACCCTAATTCTTCTTCAGTTTGCTTACATTTTCTTTTCTAAAAAAAGAAGGGGGAAAAAGTCCATACATATGTCTTTGAAAGGCTTTTGTTTTTCAAATACATTAAAATGCGTTTACGGAATAATCCACAAATGCACACCAAACAGAATGGATTCCCGAACTCTTTTGTCCGCCGAACCCTGCCAACTTAAAATCTCAGGGGGGACTTCAAGTAAAAATTTTAAGTTATTTCAATAATGTAATGACACATTCACCATTATGTCAGTTTATAGTCACAATCACATGCAGGTAAACAAAGTAATTTTTACTGTTCAAGTGTTTTGATTGCTTTTATTTTAAAATTAGTAGTTAAACTAGTTGGTTGTCCACTACATATTTTAAGGTCATTTTCAAGATAATTATAAATACAGATTGACAAAAAGGAACTATTCCAGAATGACGATTTTATTGGCACATAATCATGTAAGGTTCAATACACCTTAAACTCCATGTTCAGCATCTATAACATATTGTCAACTACAACAGAAACTAATTTCCACTCATATAGGGTTTAAAAACAACCGACTGCATTGTTGTTTTCCATAGAATTGTTCAATGGACTAAGCGCTTTGCACAAATGGTGCTAAGTGGTTTTAGCACAAAATATTATTGTAAGTCAATTGTAAGTGCATTATTATAATAATTACAAAGATAATTCAAGAAAATAATTTTGAAGCTTTTAAGAAAAAGCTCATAAAACATTAACTAATTAAAATAGAAAATTAAGGTATTCAAATCAGAGTCATATTGTACTTGACGATTAAGAAGAATTACAGAAATGAAAATTGCCTTTACAAAAACGAAACACCTTTTCAATCCACATGGACATATGGAAAACAACTAAATGCTCAAGAGTCTTCTAACATCAAACTATCCTTGACCTCATTGATGCTACAATACCCGTCAGTTGAAGATGAATTGCATCCCTGTTTGTGGGATGAAGAGAGTTCGTTCTGAAGCAGTCAATGACTTTAATTGGCTCACAGGGGAGCAATCTGCAGAATCGATCCATCTGAACGCTTTAGTGCCACAAATGATAGCACTGCTTTAACTAGGACTCTGTGTTCTGGAACTTCCATAATAACAAGCGCAATGATGATTTAAAGCAAAGTGCTACACAAAACTATTACGAATACAAGAGGCATCAGTCATGTGTATTTATGCAGTGACAGCCTTTTTTGGTAATTGTTTTTATGACAAACCAGCCGCGTGAATCTATCAAACAGGCACTGCATTGAGCAGCTGCCTTTCAGTCATCACAAACACAAGTTTAATGATCCAAAATGAAAAAACGGCACGTTATTTATCTGATGCATGGCTACAAAAGAGATCTTACAAAGCGTAGACTAAAAAGAGCAGAAATACATTTCTCCATCACCTCTAATGAGAATTTCTATTGATGAGTGGAAAAGTGTCCCGTGGTGTTTTTTCCCAGAGCAACGGAGCGCTTCATCAATAAAACTCAAGTAGAGAATTCCCCAGACTTCATCAGCACATCCTGACCTGCTACAGACATCACTAACAATGGATCCACTCTGTGATTACTGATCGATGACCGCAGTAAATGCCATCAGCAGAACTTGAGTGTGGGCGGCACAACCTGGACTGCATCATTATGAGATCACAGTCTGGGAAGTAAATGTCTTCATGTTACAGGGAAAGCTTTGAAAGCCTTGACTTGAAGTAAATGACCTAGAGTTTAAACTCACTGAACACCCACCCACCCCTCCTCTAATAAAACAATTATAACCAATTCTGACCGGCAGGACGCTAGTGGGCTTTTCACACTTAAAACTGTTAACCAAGGGCCATTTTTAACCCTGGGTTTATAAGATTCACACCTTACTGAGTTAGCAATCAATCCTGGGTAATCGGTTTGTAGAGGTTTCACATTCTACATTAGTAAAACCTGGGTTAACATTCTTATTTACATTTTTATGAGGTGAAATACATCGATTGGGCATTGAAGTACAGTACTCAACATGTTTTATGAATCATTTTCTGCCTCGTTTTAGCATGTTTAACTGTCTCTCAGACACTGAAACTAAACGTTAAAACTTATTTAATGAGGTTTTTACAAATTTTCCCAAATTTTTTGCAATGACTTTTTAGTTACTTTTCAAGCTGTTTGTGATTAACTGATAAGGATTTTAAATTAAATTTAAACTTAACTTTGAATATTTGAAATGTTGAATAACTGAACGATTTGTCAACCAGTTGATCTGATTCAATGAGAGAGAAAAAAATTTTTTTTCTAAATTGTAAAGTTTTTAATGACTTAAAGTTTATTATGAAAAGTGTATATTCACAATAGCTATTTCCATAAAGTTTCCATGATTTTTCAAAGTCTGACAATCAAAAAAAAAAAAAGTCAACCTGTATATAATGGCTGTGGGATCATAATAATTAGCATTGTTTCAACATTTTATACCTTCAGCACCACTATTCAGAGTCAATCCTGCTCGAGCTAGACTTCATAACCCAGAGTTGAAAGTGCTAATGCTACATGCTAACACCTTTTCAAACCCTAAAGTGTGAAACGTTGCTTAACCCAGGATTAAAAGTGGCCTTAACTCAGGGTTCAAGAACACATTAACTGTAGTGAAAAGCCCATTCCAAACACACGTATAAACACACACGCATTCACTCACCCCTCAGACTCTGTAGTTCTCCTGATGTTAAAGAAAATGCTCTTGGCTTACTGAATGTCCAAGTTCATAAATAGGTGGTTAGCCCAGGACAGTGAGGGGGGTATTAAGTCCCCTTGACGTTTTTGGTATGAGGTCTTGATGCCAGACTGGCATAGTAAGCACATTGTGAGGGGTCACACTGCCCTAGCGGTCCAGGAGGTCCGGGCTGACCGTGAGGACCAGGATTACCAGGCTCTCCCTGAGCGCCTGCGGATCCAGGAAGGCCGTCTTTTCCATATCCCGGCATACCTGCAGGACCTGTAGGGCAAATACTGTCTCAGCTGCAGTTCATCATTCCAACAATCACAAAGAAAAAAAATAGTAAAGAGTAGAATGGTCTTATAAATAGGTCTTCATTATATATACATGACCCTGGACCACAAAACTAATCATAAGGGGAAATTTTTTTTAATTAATTTTTTGACAATATTTGGCCGAGATACAACTATTTTAAAATCTGGAATCTGAGGGTGCAAAAAAATCAAAATATTGAGAAAATTGCCTTTAAAATTGGCCAAATAAAGTCCTTAGCAATGCATATTACTAATGATAATACATTTTTTATATATTTATGGTAGGAAATTCACTAAATTTCTTCATGGAAGATGATCTTTTCTTAATATCCTAACGATTTTTGGCATAAAATAAAAAAATGATAATTTTGACCCATACAATGTATTCTTGGCTATTGCTACAAATATACCCGTGTGACTTATGACTGGTTTTGTGGTCCAGGGTCATATACATACATACATACATACATACATACATACACTAAATTTCTTCATGGAAGATGATCTTTGCTTAATATCCTAACGATTTTTGGCATAAAATAAAAAAACGATAATTTTGACCCATACAATGTATTCTTGGCTATTGCTACAAATATACCCGTGTGACTTATGACTGGTTTTGTGGTCCAGGGTCATATACATACATTCACCCTTAAAACACGTCGGAATGATGTCATTGGCTTTATTATATCATCAGTGTCACATACTTTCCATTAAAAATACTAAAAGAGGACTCACTCTGAGACCTGGAAGACCCGACTGTCCTGGAGAACCAGGGGGCCCAGCGGGACCCACTTCCCCTGGGGTTCCTGACATGCCCATCATTCCTGTGTGACCCTTCCTGCCGGGGGACCCAGGGTTACCCGGAATGCCTGGATCTCCAACGGGTCCTTTGTCTCCTTTTATTCCATTATCACCCTACAGAAACAAGCAACACAATAAGTTTTGCATTGAATCAAGAGGTACATATGTGGATGGATTGATGGATGGATACCTTTTCTCCCTTTTGTCCTCTGTCTCCTGGTTTTCCTGACATACCCTATGATAAAAAAAACAAAAAAAAAGGTTATCTGAAAAATTATGAAAAAAGTGTTCTTATAGTAATGATGAATCATCACTCACTTGTTTGCCCTCTGGGCCAATCGGACCAGGCGGACCCTGAGGGGAAAACACAAGCGTAATATAGACCTTCATATCCACTTAGGACTGACTGCTTTCAGCTTCTATAGATTTAGAAGGCTTGCTTGTACAAGGATAAAAGCTTTACTTTACTAATAAATGTGAGATTGCCATCAGTCCCAAAGCAACATCTTCACTTACCGATGGCCCTTTTGGACCTAGGAAGCCGGGTAATCCTGGACTCCCTGCTTCACCTTTGTGTCCTGGCTGACCCTGAAACATGGTAAAAGTAATCATTTACATTAATGAACAACTGTATATTGCTCTACATACATACATACAAATATATACATATACATAAGGTGTCCTTGTTACACGTTACATGTACTTACTATTATAATAACAATTCATTATGCATAATTACATGCAAGTAACCCTAAGACAAACCCAAATCCTAACCCTAAGCATATAGTAAGTAAATGTAGTTAATTAATATTACTCAGTACTAGGGCTGGGCAATTTTTCAGATTTTATCGATTACTTCAAATGTAATATTTTGCCACGATTTAATTTTTTTAAATCGAGGAATCGCGATTTTTGAATAGAAATATTACCAAACATTAGAATTAGACACTTTGACAATATGCCAATAATAACAGTAAAGAGAAAAGAACGATCCAACCGCATGTTGGCGCACGTGATGAGCGCACATGTGATGCGCTCTGTGAAGGACCATAAATACATCGCTAGGCGCCATTCATGCAGAATGCGCTTTTGTTTTGATAAAGATGCGACGTGGCAGTGGAATAGAAAAAAATGCAAGAAGATGGGAGTGAACTTCTTTAACTGGAGCACTGCGTTTTTAGAATACCGTGAGACGCGAGCGCAACAGTCAAACACCGTAAAAGCAGCACAATCAAATAAAAAAAACCTGTAACTACCGCCAGGACCGGATTAACAATAGGGCTAGGTGGGGCTGAAGTCCTAGGGCCCGAGCAACGAGGGGGCCCGTGATTGGCTGTGGAGTAGATTGACTGAAGCGCCAATCGCCAAAGCCCCACCACGCCCCCATTTATTAGCGCTATTATTTAGTGGAGCTTTGCCGTAATTTCCATGTATTACCATTAGACATTGAAATGTCACATTTGAATTTGGTTTACCATTCAAATGCTTTTATCTGTATTTGACTTTTGAACGAACTGTACGCGTATTTATCAGGTAGTCGCTGCGCCTGATGTCCGCATTCACCTCCACTCTTCACTTCGTTCCGGCATAACTGGAAATGGTCACGCAAAGAACAATCTTCGATAAGTAAAAATGTCAGCTATTCTAAAAAAACAATCTGAGAGAGGGGTTCAAAAAAAAAGAAAAGCGTAAAAGACAAACAGCAGATAAAACATAGTCAGTAAAATCCCCAGCTATCAGGTTATTTTACTAAAGATGATGATGGAGTAGAAGTTGTGAAACAGCAAGTGGACCGTGCACATGGAGCAGAAAAACAGCGCCATCGTCCACACAGATTTTAGGTTAGTTTGATTATTAACTCGATGGATGTATTTGGCTTTTTGTGTTTTAACAAACTATATATTCGCTTTAGGGTTGGGAAATAACCTGGTAGAAAAAATGTCAATCGTTTTGCTTGTAAGCTTAAATGCATTTTAAGCATTGGGGTTTAAAAACAAATGGTTTTAAACTATTCATGGACATTAAGCAGCGGGGCATAATTCTTGCGTTCAAACATCAGAAAGAAAATCACTCGACTGAATCACTTTTGTAAAATAAGTAAGAACTAATGTATATTGAATTTATACAGTGAAGACTATTCAGTCTACAGTATTTGTCCATTTACTTTATACAATATAATATTTCTTATAATTTTTTTAAAGTTTTTCAAGTAGGTTGATTTCGTATGTATCTTTGTGCTATTATAATTTGTGACTGTTTACTTGTTCAGTAAGCTTGGTTTTACTTGAGCTAGTATTTTTTTTGTGATATTGAAATTGGTAACAAGAATTATGAAATTTCAGTGCATCAAAAAAATTTGATAGCATAAAAATCCTATTTATAATATATTATTATTGTGATGGGGGCCCTGCAGTAAGTCATAGCCCCAGGGTCCAGTGAGGTCTTAATGCGGCCCTGACTACCGCCTGATATTTCATGTTTGCATCATGGTGACAGGCTGAAAGCTGCAGTTGTTTTTATAGAACATTTATAGTTAATAATAGTCTATTTGTGTTATATCTTCAGTCATTTTGAATTTGAATTACCTAGACTTTTAAGATTTAAAAAAAAAAAAATCTAAATTAATCTAATCTAAATTAAATCTAAATTCTTATTTCTAAACATGTATAAGAAAAGTTTGTACAAGATGTAGTTGTAGTTCATGCATCTTTTCTGCAAAGATATTTAACAAGTGATTTGTTTAACATTTACATCATGTTGTCAACTTCATGTGTGGTGCACTTGGAATAGAATTTTCTTTAACTAGAGGTAATGTTAATAAAGAAAAAGTTACTTGAATCATGTTGTAATTAATTTTAAGTTGACTAGTTAAAAATCGTAAAAAATCGAGAATCGGTAAAACGTTATGAAAAAAAATCGAGATTTAAATTTTTTGCCAAATCGCCCAGCCCTACACAGTACTTATATGTATAATTACACCGTAACAAGGACACCTTAAAATAAAGTGTAACCACATTTTTAAATGTTTTTGAAAGTCTCTTGTTTTCACCAAGGCTGCATTTGTTTGATCCAAAATACATTCAAACAATAATATAGTGAAATATTATTACAATTTAAAAAACTGTTTTCTATTTGAATATATTGTAAAATGTAATTTATTCCTGTGATGCAAAGCTGAATTTTCAGCATCATTACTCCAGTCTTCAGTGTCATATGATCCTTCAGAAATCATTCTAATATGCTGATTTGCTGCTTAAAAAAAAATAAAAAATTATTATTATCAATGTTTAAAATAGTTGCGCTACTTAATATTTCAGCAAAAACCATGATACAATTTTTTTCAGGATTTTTTGATGAAGAAAAATGTAGAGGCCCAGTGAGGTCTTAATGCGGCCCTGACTACCGCCTGATATTTCATGTTTGCATCATGGTGACAGGCTGAAAGCTGCAGTTGTTTTTGAACATTTATAGTTAATAATAGTCTATTTGTGTTATATCTTCAGTCATTTTGAATTTGAATTACCTAGACTTTTAAGATTTAAAAAAAAAAAAATCTAAATTAATCTAATCTAAATTAAATCTAAATTCTTATTTCTAAACATGTATAAGAAAAGTTTGTACAAGATGTAGTTGTAGTTCATGCATCTTTTCTGCAAAGATATTTAACAAGTGATTTGTTTAACATTTACATCATGTTGTCAACTTCATGTGTGGTGCACTTGGAATAGAATTTTCTTTAACTAGAGGTAATGTTAATAAAGAAAAAGTTACTTGAATCATGTTGTAATTAATTTTAAGTTGACTAGTTAAAAATCGTAAAAAATCGAGAATCGGTAAAACGTTATGAAAAAAAATCGAGATTTAAATTTTTTGCCAAATCGCCCAGCCCTACACAGTACTTATATGTATAATTACACCGTAACAAGGACACCTTAAAATAAAGTGTAACCACATTTTTAAATGTTTTTGAAAGTCTCTTGTTTTCACCAAGGCTGCATTTGTTTGATCCAAAATACATTCAAACAATAATATAGTGAAATATTATTACAATTTAAAAAACTGTTTTCTATTTGAATATATTGTAAAATGTAATTTATTCCTGTGATGCAAAGCTGAATTTTCAGCATCATTACTCCAGTCTTCAGTGTCATATGATCCTTCAGAAATCATTCTAATATGCTGATTTGCTGCTTAAAAAAAAAAAAAAAATATTATTATCAATGTTTAAAATAGTTGTGCTACTTAATATTTCAGCAAAAACCATGATACAATTTTTTCAGGATTTTTTGATGAAGAAAAATGTATTTTAAATTTGTTAAAATGTAAGTGTTTACTGCCACTTTTAATTAATACAATTTTGTATAAATAAGTTATAATAAATAAATATCTAGAAAGGAAAATATTTAGTTTCAAGTTGGCACTACATTTTTTTAAACATTAGCGTATTGCTGGATGTATAAACTTTACAAGAAACATTTTTTTAAAAAGTAGAATTGATTTCTGCAGATTTTTAACAGCATTTTTTTTACATTATTATTATTTCTTTATTTGACATATTGTTTACATAATGTTTTTATCCAAACTTTTCCTTCTGCATCCCCTTAGAGATCCCTGGACCCATGCTTTAATAGACACACAAGCAAGAGGTGTAAACATGGATGTAAATCTAGTTCTCAGTTCATCAAACCACATGGCTGCCCATACTGAAGTGCTATTATGAAACTTACATGATTTCCCTGAGATCCAGGCTTGCCTGCTGGTCCTGGTTCTCCATGCCGACCCTAAAAAGACAAAAACACATTGGCACAACTCAATAATCACACGGGTACGGTTTTGTTTTGCGATTTAATTGGTTCATCAAAAGTCTCCTCACGGTTTCTCCTCGTGGTCCCCTCATGCCCTCTGGCCCCGGTGGTCCGGTGTTACCCTGGGTGATACAAGTACACCAATTAAAACCCAACACCATCTGCTCACAGCGGTCAGGTTTACAGTGACCTCTGCACAACACAGAATGCGTTTACTCACGTCTTTCCCTGGTGGACCCTCACGTCCAGGAACACCCTGTTTTCCATCTTCACCCTAATATGACATGACAGCATTTATTAAACAGAACCCATGAAGCTTCTGGATGATTTATGGAGCATATATTAGTGCTGTAGTTCCCCGTCTCTGAATACTGGATGTATGGGCATAGATTTTAATTGCCATTGATTAACCTTTGACCCTGGTGGTCCTGGTTCCCCTCTATGACCTTTGAAACCCTGGAAAAGACAAAAATAAAGATGTGAATATTTCACCCTGTAGGTACAGATATTAGATAATAAGGTAAAACTTTAGATTAGGGAAAACATATTCCTTATTTAGTTCTCCCCTCAATAAAGTCCTAATTTGCTGCTAATTGATAGTAAGTAAAGTAGTTGTTGCAGTAGTTATGTATAGGTATTTGGTAGAGTTAAGGCATCTAGAATATGGTCATACAGAATAAGGCATTAATATGTGCTTTATAAGTACTAATAAACAGCCAATATGCTAGGAATAGGCATGCTAATAAGCAACTAGTTAATAGTGAATAGTGTTCCCTAATCTAAATTGTCAATGATAATAATATCATGGTACATTTTTGTGAGGTAAAACAGCCCTGACAGTCTAGTTTTATACAAAAAAAAATCATCCATAATCCACAGAACAAGAGGTCTTTTAATCATTCCAGAAGAGTATAACTCACAGGCATTCCTCTGAGCCCGTCTCTTCCTGGTGGTCCTGGCTCTCCCTGTTTACCCTGAAAAAGAAAAGAAAACAATCATGTATTTTTATGTTGTTTCTACAGAACTAAGTATTGTTAGGATGCTGCATGCATGCAGAACATCAGACTCATACCGGCTCTCCTGTTTCTCCTGGTCTTCCTTCCTTTCCAGGTTTACCCATCATGCCCTTCAGCACAGAAAATGTGGTATCAGGTAGTAAGTAGGTAACAATATAGCATGATGGAGTTATTAGACTTATTCTCCCATTACACTGACCCAAAAGTTTAGAGTCAGTAAGATTTTTTTGAAAGAAATGAAATACATTTATTTAGCAAGGATGCACTGAACTGATCAAAAGTGACAGGAAATACTTTTACATTTATGTTTTTTTTATTACAAACAAATGCACTTAAGCACTAAATCAGCATATTAGAATGATTTCTGTAGGAACATGTGAAACTAAAGACTGTTGCCATGGCTGCTGAAAATTCAGTTTTGCATTACAGGAATAAATTGCATTTTAAATTATATTCAAATAGAAAACACTTTTTTAGAAAACACTGAATTGTAATAATATATTATAATATATTATAATATTTCTGTTTTATTGTTTGTTTGTTTTTTTGATCAAATAAATGCAACCTTGGTGGGCATAAGAGAGTTCTTACAAAAACATTTAAAAATCTTACTGTCCCCAAACTTTTGAACTGTAGCGTATATATGTTCTAAAAAATGTCCAGACATTTAAAAAAAAAAAATGACGAAAGTACGCACCATTAGACCTGGCAGACCTGGTGGTCCCTGAATTCCCTGAAGTCCTTCTTTTCCCTGGTAAAACACATTCAGTTATCAATAACGTGGGGGGATTCCAGTCTTGAAATCCATCCAGCTAATAGACATTTAAATCACAGAAAAAAATTAGCCTTGCCTTTTCTCCAGGAGCTCCAGGTGGTCCAATAGGTCCAGGGTTTCCATCATTACCCTACAGATACAGCAAAAATTTAAGGTTTTTAAGTATACCTATACAAGCTGAATGTGTTCTTTTATAAAAGTGGCATTTTAAAATACTCACAGGTTGACCCATAGCTCCCGCTGCCCCTGGATAACCAGGAGGTCCTGGGGGGCCCTGGGAAAATACAAATCAATGAGAGAAAACTGTGGCATAACGATAAATAATCATGGTATGTCAAATTTAAAATATATCATATGTATATTCAGCCTATTTCTGATTAAAATGGTAGGCTGACAGTACCTTTTCACCTTTATCTCCAGGTGCTCCTGGAGGACCTCTGTCACCTTTGACCCCCTGCAATGGAACCAAATATAAACAGTGATTAAACACAAAAATTTCTTAAAGGGGTCATATGATGCTTTTTTAAAGATCATTATTTTGTGTATTTGGTGTAACAGAATATGTTGACATACTTTAATGTTCAAAAAACACATTCTTTTTCAAATACTGTACATTATTGTAGGTCCTCTATGCCCCGCCTCTCACAAACGCTTTGTTTTCTACAAAGTCCCTCCTTCCGACAAGCGCAGTCTGCTCTGATTGGCCAGCTGACCCAGTGCATTGTGATTGGCCGAACACTGCAAGCACTCGTCGGAAATGTAACGCCCCTTACCATAATCGCGAGCTTCATCTTTCAAAATAAATGCAAACACAGAGCCCGTAAGAGTCGTGTGACAGACACAGTGATGAAGCTGGTATGTGTGCAGTACACAAGCCACGGTTAAGACAGCTGACTCCACTGTGATTTCTCTCTCTCTCACACACACACACGCGTGCGCGCGCACGCGCACACACACACACACACGCAAAACTCCGCATTTGAACAGTCAATAGCAAATACTTAAACTAATAACAAAACAGTAGCTGATTCAGAAGCGCCAGATTGTCATAGCAAAGTCAGAATTACCTCCTCTCCTAGGTTCACGAAACGGTCGTCCATAAAATGCATTGCTGTTCTGTTGTAAGTAATCTTAAAGATTCCTAAATGCATCTACTTTCGGAAGGCCAAATAAAGTGCTTTTGCTTTCACCTAGAAACACGCACCGTCTCCCTGACATGGCTGCTTCAACACTAACTGCAGTTACTGAAACCACGCC